CAGAGTTGGCTTTTAAGTAATGTCTTTGGATTATTTGCCTTAAGTCTGTGTAAAAGGAAACGAACCTTTATCACCTCGTATTACTAATTCTAAGTATTTGAGTACACGAAATGTTATTTCTGGTCTTATGAAACCACTCTGTAAACTACATGTTGCATTTTTTATTGTTTAGATGTTGTATGGATTCGGACAACAGGCTTCCTTGGTTGGGACCCTAGAATCTCTTGCCACTGATGAACGCTGCGTCTCCGAATCAAACATATCTCATTATTTTTAAAACTCGATAAAAGTTGAGACCTCTTAATTTTTATATATTTCCTCTGATTACCAAAAGTGGCTCAACAAGTGGGACGGTCATAATTTAATATCTTCACGTATATGGTAGTTAGTGAAAAGATTGGTTTGTAAAGAACATCCTCCTCAATTAGCTTTATTCAGTTCGGTTATAATTATTGCACTAACCATAATTATAGCAATCACTGGATCATGACAGTGAACTTTAATTTCTCCCTACGTATAATGTACTTTCCTGCTGGTCTTCAGTTGAATTCATCATACGACTGGCCTCATATCAGAGCTTCGATAAGTGAGTTATTATACCGCAGGCATAAACACATTTATTCGGACATATATAATGGGATTCCCTCTAAGGGCCACTAAAAAGTAGAGTCTGTAAGTCATTAAAAATGATGTTACTTTGATAGACAAACCAAGTTCAAAGTTCGAGAAAAACAAATAAATCAAACGTCAGATAATAAGAGCGAGATTTACGATGACGCTCTGTAGTAAAATGAGCATTTCAAAGTTCTTCAGAAACATAACACTCCTATATGCGGTGGTTTTTGAATCGTTTGAGTAAGCCGTTTCAATAAACAGAAAACATGGACTACGTTACCCTTGTTTTTCGCTCCTGGTTAAATTATATCCACTGAAGACCTTCATGTTGGTCGCGAATTACTGACCTGGCAAATGTGGGTTATTGCTATTGATCACCCTGAATAAACGATTCAAAAAATCACTTGCTATCTATAGTATTTTTTTTACATTTTGTATCTTTTACAAATGCTTCGGGCAACCTCTGAACTTATTCTAATTAGCTTACAAGAAAGCAATTATGCCTAAATCAGAGAAATAGAATGAACGCTTTAATAATCCTTTCACTATTTTATTTGAAAGTATTTTATTTTCTTGGATTCTTCTATTTGCTTTGTGAGTCACCTTTATCTGGAACTCAAATAAAAGTATTTTTTTTTATCTCCTAATCTTCTTCAAACAATTATTATTTGTCTCCGGTTAGTATTCACTTTTATATTTTCTTTGTTCTTGTATGACTCAAGGACAGCCAATAACAGCTTCTTGTTTTACTGGACTTGTGGTGCTCGTGTGGATCGAGTGACTGATGTTTCTCTAAAACTCTCTGCTGAGAACCTTCCATTAAATATTGTAATCTTGTGGTCAGAAACTTGGTCACATTCGATGTCAGAATAAAGATTCCTCTTTTCCAGAACCTTATTCCAATCGTTAAATATTAGTCTGGATTTTGTCAATTACTTGGTTACTTTACGCAGGAGCCTTTAAATTTATCACCCGAAGAATATCAAGCAGATCTAAGCACATTTACCTCATCAATTCTTGTTATATGCAGACCTGGCTCTACTTTGCACTGTTTCGCAGTTATTAGCTGTTCGTCGTAATTCGTGCCAATTATTCGCATTTTACACTGCGGAGCCAGGAATATTATCGATTATTTTGTGTGGAAAGTTTCAGCCATCCATATGAAGCCAATGTATCTTGTGAAATATTTCAGTAACTGAACAACGTTTTACAAAAAATCTGTTAGCGATATTAACATTTTGATTTTGCTTATAAATTGGCATGCCTCTTTTAACAGGAATTATGCTGAAACACAAGGATGGATACGTTCTTATTCAGTCAGCTGCGGGGGACTCGAGAACATTCTTTCCTCCTCCTTTCTGACCACTATGATTCTTCCTCACTCAACTTGATTTGCTAGCATAAAACTGTCTGTTCTGATCTTGGAGGCTATTCAGGCATTGCACACTGTTCAAAGTATACTCAGAAATAAGAGAGCTGGGTTAAAAGGGTAAAATGTTCAAGATGCTTGTATCAGATGACCAGCATAATTGAGTTCTAAAACAGCGGCAAGCACAACTCGGTGCACAAAAGCGGTTGTTAGAAACTGTGACGCAACAGCAGGAGTAGATAAAAACTTATGACTTTTACTTTTTGTGTTGCAGTTGCTACTGACGTTCCCGAACGCTGCAATGATCCTGTATAGAGTGTGAGATCCTCAGAACTCTTTTGAAAAGGTTCAAATTTTGGGATACTGTGTTTTCGCGTATGAGCTGCTCAGTTGACCTTGAAATTACATTTTCAACTCGGAAAATCCTTAACTGTCGTTGGTTGACGTATTACTTCAGTACGCTACTTTTCTGGCCCTCCCAAGGACATTTCTGTCATGTATAAATAGACTCGGTTTGTGTGCTTGTCAACCCCATATATTCTGGGTGCTTGTAGAATACACTTTCTACGACTCCAGTAGATCCCTCGAGGCTACTGCCGGTCCCAAGCCCTGATAAAAGAGAAAAGGGGTTGGACATGCGGTCGGCACCTCCATCCCAACTATAAACTAACTTGCCAAAAAAAACGCTAACCAGAAAAAATAATTCAAACCATTTTAACTCTGCCCTGGGAGTTGGAAGAAGAATTATGACGTCACGTGATGAAAGCCGAGTTACCTCGGAAGTCACGCGGCCGATGCCTATTCTGACAACCAGAGCAACCATTTTTTTAGGTACATGGAACGTTCGTACATTGTGGGAGACTGGAAGACTATTTCAAGTTGCTGCAGAAATGAAAAGATACAACCTCGAGGTGCTTGGCATCAGTGAAACGCATTGGACACAGGCAGGACAACTGAGACTAGCTTCAGGGGAACTGCTGTTATACTCTGGTCATGAAGAGGAAAATGCTTCACGTACACAAGGAGTTGCACTGATGCTGTCCAAACATGCACAAAAGGCACTGATAGGATGGGAATCTCATGGACCCAGGATCATTAAAGCATCCTTCAAAACAAAGAAACAGGACATTACAATGAACGTCATCCAGGGCTATGCAGCTACCGACGAACTCATTCATGACTGCATCCGGGCTGCAATTTGTCGGAGCGCAAGCATAGCGAAAAGATATCGTTTCTCATACCGACCTCTCCTTTTCAATCCAACAGCACATGACCAGTTGTAACTGAAGAACAATTAGACTAGAGCTACTTAAACTCTTGCGCTTAGTACGACACCAACAAGACCGGACGTAGATGACACAGGGTCTCCAGATAAACGCACACGAAACAGGATTTTCTAAGCGGCAGACATTTAGAAAGGACGGAATTTCCACCAGCAGCGAGCTGCTGCATGAGGTGATCATTAAAGAATACATAAAGTGAAAATAAAGAAGTTACTCAATGTAAGGTTAAAACGAATTTTATAAAACAATTGTAAGTAAGAATTGCGAGAGTGAGGTTTGAAGCGAGCATAAAATTTCCCAGTTTTTATCATTTGATCAATATGCAGGCTATGATACTGCTTGCGCGCTCCCAAACGAAACAGGTGATTTTTTCGAATATTCTTGTGTAAAAATTATTAACATACTAACACTTTTGTTACCATGATTATTCCACATTCAAGTTGGTATATCTGCATATAAATATCTACCAATTCAAATCGTGTTCTGATTATGGGGACTAGTTGAGCACTGTAAAATCTTTAGAGAATACTCAGCAATAAGATTGCCGCGTCATAAAAGAGAGATCATTAACATTCACTCATAAACTTAGTGTTATATCTGCATAAAAATATTTTCACTTACTTAATCTACTCAATAACCCTACTCCGGTAGGATCGTATCTATAAACCCATATTATATGTTATTGATCACCTCCCGTGTCAGAAACACATAATATATGTGACGACAGAGACAAGGTAGTCCAAATAACATAAATAATGCAACCTTGTCCAGTACCCGTCAAAGGACTAATATCAGGCAGCGTTTAAAGAACTAGTCGTCAGGTAACCAGAGCTTAGATGACATCCGAAGTTTACGCACCTACAGTCTGCAGTGCCTTCAAATAAGTGTGTAAAGTTGACTGTAGATAACTTAAACTGTAATCATCGATTATTTTTTACATTTAATAGTATTTGAACATATTTATGCAAGGCACAATATTTTTTATCCAACCACTTTCTTCATTCACGGCTTCTTTTAAGCTAGATGTTAGGGATTTTCAGAGCTTTTCATACATCCACGTTCTCATAATAGAGAATAAAAGAATACAATCCAATCAGTCGTTAGGAATGAAGGAGATTAAAATCATGTTTGGGCGACAGTTGGAGTGTTGAGAAGTCAGTGCGTTGAACGACATACCAAACAGTGATCTGGTACGGATGTGTGACCGAGCGCGTTTACATGAAGTTTGTCCATTGAAACTATTTGAAAACTTTCAGAGCAGTATATTTTAGGGGTTTATTTACCGAATCAAGCGTATCTGAACGTTTTTATATCGAGATGCGAAATTCTGAACTTTTCCTGCTACGGCAAGTATGCTGATATTCTCAATATTGTGAGAATATAATTCATTTCGCTTAATGTCTTTGCTTCTGTAAGGAAGAATAAACCGAAAACTTAGTAGTTTGAGTCAAAATGAGCAGAGTATAGAACATGATTCACATCGCGTCAATCAAAACAGCGTAAGTAAATCGACTCTCGAGTTGGAAAAGATTCTGTGAGGTTAGTAAACAGTATTGAAAACTATGGATGTTTACTGACAAGTGACCTGAAGAAGATCAACTGTATCATCATTCATTACCAAATAACTGGAATCGTACCGAAAAAATGAGAATCGAGCGCAAAGGAGTCAAGTGGTTTACACTAGCTCGTGAAAAATATATTGGATATTGGATAGATATTTGATCGTTCGGATTCTGAGTTGTTTATACGCATCTTTATGTAGGTCACTGGGAATTTGGAAGCTTCGCGAATTGCTTACGATGGGAAGAGACTACTATAAGATCCTTGGCATAAATAAGAATGCAACTGACGAGGAAATAAAGAAAGCATATAAAAAGCAGGCATTTCAATACCATCCTGATAAGAACAAGTCTCCGAACGCGGAGGAAAAGTTTAAGGAGATTGCGGAGGCGTACGATGTAAGTATTTCCCCTAAATTAAGTTCCTCGTTTTAGGTTTTATCTGACCCCAAAAAAAGAGCAATATATGATGAACATGGTGAAGAAGGACTGAAGAATGGACCAACTTCAAGCGGAGGTGGGCAAGGCTACACTTATACTTTTCACGGTGACCCACGGGAAACATTTAGGATGTTCTTTGGCAATGATGATCCCTTCTCAGGGTTTTTTGCATCAGGAGGAAGACGTACTAATGCTGCGGAGCCTATGAACGTCGATGATTTCTTTGGCGGTACACCTTTAGGAGTAAGTTGCCCTGATAGCCACACCGAGTGCCGTTTAGGATTTCGACAGTTAAAATTATCTAGATGCATAAAGGCCATTATTCATAATAGCCCCTCATTTCACATATCACCTGCAGAATAGCCATAGTGGAGTTATAAGCAGGAGTTTGTAGTTCCTGGGCCAGTGCAAACACTTAATTTGTTAGAAGTGTTTATCGCGTAAAGTAGTTTTAGTTCATAATTTCTGTGCATTAACGATTCTGAAACACTGAATGTCGTTGGTAACGTAGTACTGAAGTCAGGAAAATAGTTGGCGGTATGCATTCATTATATCATACAGCCCGAGCAAGTCACGAGTCCTTGCAGAGGTAGGATGATCAATCTGGTTTCGTCGGATTTAAATTTCTGTTATTTGAGTTTTGACCTGATTCATGCTAGGTATTCGTACACTATATATATATTTATACATTACTTACTTACTCCTGTTACCCCCAACGGAGCATAGACCGCCCACCAGTCTTCTCCAACCAACTCTGTCCTGGGCTTCCCTCTCCAGTTCTGTCCAATGTTTGTTCATCCCTCTCATGTCTTTTTCTATTTCTCGGCGTAATGTATTCCTTGGCCTTCCTCTTTTCCTTTTGCCTTGAGGGTTCCATGTAAGGGCTTGTCTCATAACGCAGTTTGATGCTTTTCGTGGTGTTTGTCCTATCCACTTCCACCGCTTCTTCCTGATTTCCTCCTCCACTGGAATCTGGTTTGTTCTCTCCCACAGTTCGTTGTTGCTGATGGTGTCTGACCAACGAATCCGAAGTATTTTGCGTAGACAACTGTTAATAAACACTTGTATCTTCTGGATGATGGCTTTGGTAGTTCTCCATGTTTCCGCTCCATACAGTAGAACTGTCTTCACATTTGTATTAAAAATCCTGATTTTGGTGTTGATTGATATTTGTTTGGAGTTCCAGATATTTTTCAACTGTAGAAATGCAGCCCTTGCTTTGCCGATCCGCGCCCTCACATCTGCATCAGATCCACCTTTCTCGTCGATGATGCTGCCCGGATATGTAAAGGTGTTAACGTCCTCCAAGGCATCTCCATGAAGAGTGATTTGGTTGGTGGATGTTGTGTTGCATCGGATAATTTTGCTTTTTCCTTTATGTATGTTGAGACCTACTGCTGCAGAGGCTGCTGCTACACGTCTTCTCTTGCATTTGTTGTTGCGTGTGCGATAGAAGAGCCAGGTCATCTGCGAAGTCCAGATCGTCCAGCTGCGTCCTAACTGTCCAGTTGATACCGTACTTCCCTCCAGATGTTGACGTTTTCATAATCCAGTCGATCACCAGGAGAAAGAGAAAGGGTGAGAGTAAGCAACCTTGCCTGACACCGGTCTTCACCTCGAAAGAGTCTGTTAGCTGTCCTTCGTGCACGATTTTGCAGTTGAATCCATCATAAGAATTCCGTATGATGTTAACTATCTTCTCAGGCACACCGTAGTGTCGAAGAAGCCTCCACAGTGTTTTCCTATCCACTCTATCGAATGCTTTCTCGTAGTCGATGAAGTTGATGTAGAGTGGTGAGTTCCATTCAATTGATTGTTCCACAATGATCTGTAATGTAGCAATTTGGTCAGTACATGATCGATCCTTACGAAATCCGGCCTGTTGATCTCGAAGTTGGGCGTCTACGAAGTCCTTCATTCTGTTTAACAATACTCTGTTGAAGACTTGCCTGGTATTGAAAGAAGAGTGATGCCTCTGTAGTTCTCACACTTGCTGAGATCGCCTTTCTTTGGTATTTTGATCAGGTATCCTTCTTTCCAATCTGATGGTACTTGTTCCTCATCCCAAATCTTCTTGAAGAGAATGTGAAATATTTTCGCAGTTGCTTCTACATCTGCTTTCATTGCCTCTGCTGGTATGTTGTCTGGTCCTGCTGCTTTGCCGTTCTTGATTTGTCTGATGGCCATACTGATCTCCTCAATCGTAGGTACGCCAATATAAATTGGGATGTCCTTGGATGCTGCTTCGATGTTGGGTGTGTCCAATGGAGCTGGTCGATTCAATAGTTCCTGAAAGTGCTCTACCCACCTATTTCTCTGTTCTTCAATGTTGCTGATTACTTTGCCTTCCTTTCTTTTCACTGGTCGTTCTGGTTTACGATAGTTTCCGGCCAGCTTCTTTGTAGTTTCGTACAATTGTCTCAAGTTTCCGTCTCTTGCAGCCTTTTCCGCCTTCGTTGCTAGATCTTCCACATATTTCCGTTTGTCAGCTCTGATGCTCTTCTTCACTTCCCTGTTTGCTTCTGTGTATTCAGCTTGTGCCTTATCTTTCTCTGCTCTTGTTTGGCTGACATTGATTGCTGCCTTCTTGTTCCTCCTTTCTTCAATTTTTTCAAGAGTAACAACAGAGATCCATTCCTTGTGATGGTACTTCTTGTGACCCAGAACTTCGCGACATGTTGAAGTGATTGCCTCCTTAATCCCTTTCCAATTGTTCTCCAATGTTGCGTCCTCTCCATTGAGTAGATCCTGCAAGGCCTGGAACCTATTGGTGAGGGCTATCTTGAATTCGTTGAGCTTTACAGTATCCCGAAGAAAGGCCGTGTTAAACTTGTGAGATGTTGTCTGTCCCGTTGTCCAGTGCTTCTTTAGTTTCAGTTTCATTTTGGCGATCAGCAAATGGTGATCTGAGGCTATATCAGCTCCTCTCTTGGTTCTCACATCCTCCATGGTCCTTCTGAATGTTTTGTTGATACAGATATGATCAATCTGGTTTTGAGTAGCGTGGTCCGGTGAAATCCGTGTGGCTTTGTGTATGTGTTTGTGCGGCAATATTGTGCCACCGATGACCAGTTCGTTGAAGGCACATAGGTTTGCAAATCTGTCACCGTTTTCGTTTCTTTCTCCCAGTCCATGTCGTCCAATGATGTCTTCGTATCCAGTGTTGTCCATTCCAACCTTGGCATTCAGGTCTCCCATAAGAATCGTCAAATCCTTTGGTGAACATTTCTCAACGATTGACTGCAGCCTTTCGTAGAATTGATTTTTAACGTTGTCATTGTAGTCATTGGTAGGTGCGTAACATTGGATGACGTTCATTGTAATGTCCTGTTTCTTTGTTTTGAAGGATGCTTTAATGATCCTGGGTCCATGAGATTCCCATCCTATCAGTGCCTTTTGTGCATGTTTGGACAGCATCAGTGCAACTCCTTGTGTACGTGAAGCATTTTCCTCTTCATGACCAGAGTATAACAGCAGTTCCCCTGAAGCTAGTCTCAGTTGTCCTGCCTGTGTCCAATGCGTTTCACTGATGCCAAGCACCTCGAGGTTGTATCTTTTCATTTCTGCAGCAACTTGAAATAGTCTTCCAGTCTCCCACAATGTACGAACGTTCCATGTACCTAAAAAAAATGGTTGCTCTGGTTGTCAGAATAGGCATCGGCCGCGTGACTTCCGAGGTAACTCGGCTTTCATCACGTGACGTCATAATTCTTCTTCCAACTCCCAGGGCAGAGTTAAAATGGTTTGAATTATTTTTTCTGGTTAGCGTTTTTTTTGGCAAGTTAGTTTATAGTTGCGATGGAGGTGCCGACCGCATGTCCAACCCTCCTCCTTTACCCGGGCTTGGGACCGGCAGTAGCCCCGAAGGTTCTACTGGCGGCGTTTATATATATATATATGTATATACATATATATATAAGATGCTTTGGCATGTTACCATATGCTGAGTCATTCAATATTTTTGCTATCGATTCACAGTATTCCACTCAGTTACATTGCAGACCTTGGTACCTACGTACTTCACTTCAGGTTTTCGTACCTCATTAGCGCGGAGATGGAATTGTGAATTCAAATCCCGTAGTATCAGAGGTGGTAAAAGTATTAGCGGTAATCTAAAAGATAAATGATCGAAGGTATGATTCGTAAAGTATAATCCGGTGAAAGATTATGAAGAAATCACAAGATTAGAATTTGAGTGAAAACAAAGAATGAATGCATTTACTCCATTGTAAATAACTCGGAGGATATTCGCGATTTGCTAGTATTTGCTCGCCAGTGTCTTTAGAGCTCTGTCCTACTATGTGGCTGTGAAATATGGCCAGTAAGATTACGTTCCTGGTTTTCGATAACTGATATCTTCTAAGCACTGCTCGTTTATCTTGGATCTACCGAGTAAGCAATGCTGTTGTTAGGAAACGGGTACTAGGTAAGGAAAGCAGATCAATAGATGAATTATTGAGATTTCATCAGTTGAGTTGGTTGAGACATGTGTTAAGAATGTTCGGCTACCGATATCAGAACATGGCGCAAATCCATGGAACAACTGACAACTGGATTGGGTCATGTTGGTAAGTGTTAACTACCTGACTGGGATCCGCGCGATTATCGTAATGAGATATTGGAGACTGTTAATGACTTAACCCAGGAAAATAGTCCTGCGTTGTGCGAAACAACAGAGCCCACTTATCTTTGGGCCATGATTTGGTCTATAAAGACTAAAGTAGCTCGGATATTCATTGATTTTAGTTCTTTTTTTCATGTGAACGTATACTTCTCTCGTTACATTACATATACACATCTTAGATGTGCGTCTTATTGTTACATTTCCTTAAATTTGTATTCAGGTGAAAGATCTGAATGCGATAGAACTCCAAAATGTTTTAAACGCCAATATTTCTTCAACGTTTACTCACAATTTCGGAACAAGGATGTACGAGCAATGCTCTAAAGACACTGGCGATCGAATATTAGTAACCTGCGAATATCCTCCAAGTCGTTTACAATGGTACAGATGCATCTATTCTTTGCCTTTCCTCAAATCCCAATCTTCAGGAAACTTCATGACCGTTTCTTCCCTTTGTGAATATATTTCACCGGATTGTACTTCTAGAATTATATCTTTGATCTTTAATCTTTGCGGTTACCGCTAATACTTCTGCTACCTTTACTGTTATGGAATTTGAATTCGCACTTCGATATCCATTTAATTGTGGTATGGCAAAATGAACTGACGTACATACGTACCGAGTTCTATGTTGTAGCTGACTGGCAGCCGGATATCCTTTATGCTTAAAGACCATATTCCACACTCTTATAGTAGGACAGAGCGAACTGCTGCTCAGTACACTCGTCCTTTGCGTAGCAGACGGATATCTTGCCTACGCCATACATGACGCAAGTTTAAAAAAGCCAATCGAGCCTTCTGTATCCGCACTGAGATTTTGTCAGACACCAAACAATCGGCACTGGTCAGACTCCCGGGACAAGTGAAGCAGTCAACACGCTCAACTGTTTCACTCCCTATCACTAGTTCAAGTGCCGATGCAACCCAATTCTGAAGCAATATTTGGCATTTCGACGGAGAGAATCGCATCCCGAACATGCTTGCATTGTTGCTCAGAGTAGTCTGGAGAAAGTGGACAGCCCTAACGAACACCACTTGAATTAATCAATTCTGAATACAGTGCGCCGTAATCTCTAACTCGACCACTAGTTGATCCATTAAGTGTTCTGCCTATCGACCTGATCTCCTGCATTGAGAATGAATAATAAGCTCATCCTTTTGCGAAATAGTCTCACTTACAGTCGGACTCCTAATACCGGATTCCTTGATAAGTGTTAATAGTCGTCTAATGTTACCTATCACCGTTGTTTTTTCCATCTTTTGCTTTCGCTACCCACCACTATTCGTGATCATTGCGTCGGCTTCTCATCATCCTTCGCGGAAGTGACTCCACTCTTTGTCAGGTTCCGGACCAGGTGGAATGAGTTCCCGAGCGTTAATCAGTTCGGTAGATGCCACTGAAATCCACTGTTTCCCCCTAACCTAATGGATACCTTGTGTCTGGTCTCCTGAAACCTCGTTCTAAATTACATGGAGCATTTAATGTGCGGACATTGCGTCAAATAGGACAACAGGCTTCATAAGCTGGGACTTTAGAATCTCGCGCCGTCGATGTGTGCTGCCTCTCCGAGACGTGCATACAGGATCTGAGTAGCGTCATTCACTTGACTTCACCATGTCAAAAAGAAGCAGCTCGATTTACTCTTCGTGTATCTGGAAGCCCTGATGCTGCTTCCAGGGGTCTTGCTGGCGTAGGCATAGCATTGAGTCGTAGGGCTGAACAATCTCTCCTAGACTGGATCCTGGTAGAAAGTCTCTTGTGCACTGTCCGACTAAACAGAATGGTACGAACTTATAAAGACAGAGAAATTCGCCGTTGCTTCTTTGTTGTCTCAGACTACGCTCTCACTAACTACAGTTCAGAAAAGGTAAAAGATGAGTTCTACGGAAACATTCTTCAAAAAGTTAGGCTCTCTGATGTTACAATAGTGGCTGGTGACTGAGCAGAACGGGAAGACAACTGAGTGGATCTTATGATGTCGCGACTGAAAGAACTGACAACGGTAACCATGTGCTGCAACTATGATCAGATAACCACTTTGTTCTGGAAAACACAAAGTTTAAACATCAGGAAAAGAATCCCAAACATGGCGATTTCCAAAATAGACTCAACTAGACCACATCGCTACCAGCAATCGTTTAGGGTTGACAGAAAACTGCCAATCATTCTGGAAAACATGTTTGGAATCCGATCATTTACCGGTACTAGAGCGTATTTGTTTGCAGCTTACTGGACTTATGACTCTACTTGATGATAGCAAAGGTAAGAGTATATTTCAGGAACAACTAGAAAAAGTTAAGCAGCTATGTAGTAAGAGATGCCCAACCTGAGGCAGCATGGGACGATATAAAAAAACTGTGGAAACACCAGTGATATCTGCTTGTGTGATCATCTATTAGGTTAGGGAGAAACAGTGGATTTCAGTAGCATCTACCGAACTGATTAACGCTCGGGAACTCATTCCACCTGGTTCCGAACCTAACAAAGAGTGGAGTCACTTCCGCGAAGGATGATGAGAAGCCGACGCAGTGATCACGAACAGTAGTGGGTAGCGAAAGCAAAAGATGGAAAAAACAACGGTGATAGGTAACATTAGACGACTATTAACACTTATCAAGGAATCCGGTATTAGGAGTCCGACTGTAAGTGAGACTATTTCGTAAAAGGATGAGCTTATTATTCATTCTCAATGCAGGAGATCAGGTCGATAGGCAGAACCCTTAAAGGATCAATTCAACTGGCCTTCAGCCACATTCCAGTCAGTCTGACTGGCAAGCGGACTTAAGTTTTCCAACTCTTAATGAGGTTGAGAAAGCTATAGGAGATCTAAAACGAAAGAAAGCTGCGTGCCCGGATAGATTGACCCCTGAAATTTGTTAAGGATGATGTTCCAGTTTTAGCAGTTAAATTGACTGAGAGCTTAGGTAGAATATGGGGACTGGGCGTAATCCCATCTGACCGGTCTCAATCCCTAATTTTCCCAGTTTGTAAAAATGGACAAAAGTCCTGTTGTGACAATCACATTAGTCAGTTTAATTAATGCTGTGTCTAAAATGTTGGTCTCGACAATAATTAGACGACTAACGGGCGCTCATGAAGAGCCGACTCGAGAAGACGAGGATGGTTTCAGATTTGGTCGTGGCTGTATTGACCACATATTCACACTTCGACAGGTCCTAGAACAAAGACACGCATTTCGGCGTCCGACAGTAGTTGTCTTCGTGAATATGAAGGCGGAATTTGACTTTGTCGATCGTCAGGTTTTATGGCGGTGGCTGTCATTGAGCTATATATCGATGTAGTACATTAATCTTACACATGCTTTCAAATCGAAAACTACTGGTCGAGTTAGAGATTACGGCACACTGTATTCGTAATTGATTAATTCAAGTGGTGTTCGTTAGGGCTGTCCACTTTCTCCATTTTTGTTTAACTTTGTCGTTGACGTGCTTTTAGATACGATTCTCTCATCGTCTGACTTTTCAGGAGTTGAACTTTTACTAGGAGATTCGCTCGTTGACTGAAAATATGCCGATGACATAGTTCTATTTGGTGAAGACGCTGAAAACATGCAGGTTCTCCAGACTACTCTGAGCAACAATGCAAGCATGTTCGGGATGCGATTCTTCCCGTCGAAATGCCAAATATTGCTTCAGAATTGGGTTGCATCGGCACCTGAACTAGTGATAGGGAGTGAAACAGTTGAGCGTGTTGACTGCTTCACTTGTCCCGGGAGTCTGACCAGTGCCGATTGTTTGGTGTCTGACAAAATCTCAGTGCGGATACAGAAGGCTCGATTGGCTTTTCCCAACTTGCGTTGTTGCATACATTCTTCGTTTTTTCTCGAAGTCTAATCTTCTGAATTCCCCAGAACCTTTGTCTTTTTAATTTTATATCACTGGCTCATACTTGAATAATTTCTTCGAATGCTAATCTCTCCGATTCCTGTTAATACTTCTACGCTATCTATCGCTATCCGATTTAATAGTCATGTGCGTAGCATGGTAACTGGAGCCGATTTAGTACGTTTGTAGGTCTCCTTTGTTGCTGAATGACTGACTGTCTCTTGCAATCCTCTTCGTAAAGCAAGAACTCTAAACAGTGAAACTTTGACTCATGGCTGATGAGATGCCCCCTTGAACTAGTTATTCTGTATATGTTTTTAAACAATTGCTTTTCTGTTGCTTCAGTCTTCAATTTTTCCTTTAGGGTTTCTTTGAAACTAGGAACATAAATACGACAGGTGGTCGAAGACCTCAACAGGATCTCCCAATATATCATGACTTGTCAGTCTCATTGGAAGACGTTCTTTATGGGACAACAAAGAAAATTCGTATTACGAGAGCTCGTTTAAATGCGGATGGACAAACAACTCGTCAGGAAGAAAAAACAGTTGAAATTGAAGTTAAAAAGGGTTGGAAAGCTGGAACGAAAATCACGTTCCCTCGAGAGGGTGATGAAACCACCAAAGGTTGCATTCCTGCCGATGTTGTTTTCGTTCTCAAAGACCGAACACATAAACATTTCAAGCGTGAAGGTAGCGATGTACGTTATAAGGCTAAAATCAGCCTAAAACAAGCTCTTTGTGGTGGAACAGTTTCAATACCGAGAATCGCAGGCAGTCCTATAAGCCTCCCACTCACCGACATCGTCAAACCTGGGACCATTAAACGTATTCCAGGTGAAGGTCTTCCCTTTCCAAAGGAAACTAGTCGCCGTGGAGATATCATAGTTGAATTTGAGATCAAATTTCCAGAGTCTTTATTAAGTTCACAGAAATCCCAATTAGCTTCAATATTACCCGATTAACCATGCAAGTTAATGAAGACACGTAAACTAACGCTTTTGATTATAGAGTCAGTCATAGTATGTACATATCGGGTTTCCTGAAGTCATAATGCATCTTGTTTTCACTTTGCAAATAAAATCATTTACTATTTTCTGAAAGTATTCGGAAATAAACAATGTTAAAAAATAAAGGGGCTTATCATAAAATATTTGAAAGTTTTGAATTTAGTTCTAAATCACCACTTGTTTCTCCATTGAATACGATGGATATCGGCTTTGGTATTTTTCACTTCACTCCTTACTGTATACACAATTAATGGTAACGAGTTATTATAATCCTACTTTGTTAACGAAAAGTTAGTTACACCGTGAAAACAAGTTTATTAGTCTTCCGAGTCAGCGCAATTTTTTTAACGGAGATTTAAAATTGGTAAAAGTGATGAAAAAGCTAGTTATATACTTGGCATATTTTTTATATTTACTTGCCGTGGCCTCGCTGGTGTAGGTATAGCATTGAGCCCTGGGGCTGGATCAGCTCTCTAAGATGGATAGTCGCATATACGCTGTCCGACTAAACGGAACAGCAAGAACTCGAAAAGATGGGGATACTCTTCGCTGTCTCTGCCTACGGTCCTACTGACTGCAGCTCAGATGAATTTTACCGAAAACTTCCTAATCTTCAGAAAGGTAAGCGGTCTAATATAGTAATAATGACTAATGACTTCAATGTCCGAGTAGTTAGACCGAGCGAAAGGAAGAGCACATGGGTGGACTTGTGACCCATAGAACAGATAATGGCGACTGTCTGCTGCAGATATGCTCAGTTAACTGCCTATTTCTAGACAACAATAAGGAATAGCATCTTTTGACCTGGCGACCCCCAAAGTCATCCCAACGCTGGACCTAACTAGATCATATCGCAATCAGCCACCGATGGAGAGGTTTGATAGAGGACTATCGGTCATACTGAGGCACGTGTTTAGATTCAGATAATGCCCTAGTGCGAGCGCGTATTTGTTTGCGACTTACTGGACGTAGGAAATACACCGCAAACAAACCTGTTAAGTCCACTTCATGATGTACGATAACTCAACTAGACCACATCGCTGTCAGCAATCGTTGAAGAGGGTTGATAAAATCTGCCACTCATTCTGGAAAACATGTTTGGAATCCGATCATTTACCGGTGCAAGGGATTTGATAAGCAGAACACTTAAGGGATCAACTAGTGGTCGAACACTAGAATGTATCTGCTATGAATAGTTTTTTTTTAATTAGAAGCGCGTTTTGTTTCATTTAATTTTAATATACCGATGATTAGTAGAGGTGAAAATAATGCACGCAGTGGCAGTTTAATGAGGTGTCCAAATCATACTGTAATAGTCACGATTGGACCAGCATTTGATGAAGAAATAAGACCGCGAACGCATCGCATCATAATTAGAACCGAAAGCACAATATTGCACAAAACAATCACCAGTTGTGTAAATCACCACAGCTTAGATAGGAGTATGGATCTCTGTACCTCACTTTCCGTCTCCTGCACACGATCGCTGAATGTGTCAGACTATTTGATAACGTTTGTTTGGTGTCTATAATGTTATTGCCAGTTACAGAGTTGATAAGAGAAATCAGGACGGACTAACTTGTCCTGTGTGTACCATTGATATCTAGTACGCGCTAAAGATTTCCTTGTTTTTCTATAAAGATCCGGTGAATAGTTTAGTATTACTCCCTTGATAGGTTTTGACCTTTGTAGACTGTAGTAAGTGCATATTGGAACGTGGAGATCCTCTTGGCCATTTCTTTATTGAAAACAAACATCAATACAAACGGTCACCAAAATATATGTGCGCCAAGCAATAAAAATGAGGTTATGAACCGAGAGGGGGAAGGAAGCGAGTATAATTTTCGACAAAAAATGAATATAAATTAGTATGTGTGAGTAAAATAATGATGGGAAATACACTTCAGTTAAGGAAAATACAACCAGAAAGCGTTCTTCTAGTTAGACAAGTTCTCCTCACTTAGATGAAGGCAGTGGAAGGAAGTCGCATCAAAATCACCACCGGCTTTCTTTCTGAGACATATCTGATAATGCCTCAAGCTACCCAGTTACAAAATTTATAGAACCCCGACCAAGGAGTTGTAAAGGAAAAGCAGACGCAAGTCGTGTATAGTGTGCTTTCCTAGCTCCCAAATTAACTGGTGCGACTGGAAGTAAGGAGAGTCCCCCGGCCGTAGCTAATACCTTTGACGTGGTGTTCGGGCTTGCCTATCGTGATGATCCAACCGAGCTATATTGGCTGGAACATATGTTCCTGAAGGTTCTACCACGCCAGGCAGGCCGATTGGAGAACGAAGAGACTAAAAGCAGCTACTCCAGGTCTGAGGGCGAAGTTGTACTGCTGACTGCCGAGGGGTGTGACAGCAATGAGGTGTTTCTCTCTGACAACCATCATCTAAAGCCATGCAGCCTTCTCACAAGGAAGGAAGGGTTAGAAAAGGTCGACCCTAAAAATGTCACACCTCACCCTACCTCAGGGATTTCCGTCTCCGGCGGTAAGGGTGCCCACTAAGGGCTTTCAGGAGCGGAGCTAACACTCGAAAAAGCCTTCCATAAAAAGGCCGTGCGTGACCGGCCTTAAGCAGTTGTCCCTTGGGCTCTGCGGTCACGCTCCCAGGTCTCCAAGACCAACACTGATCTATCTACCTTTTCAGGTCACTCAAGAAACAACTTTCCACGGTATGAGCAGCCGGGAAGTGATAACCGCCCTCATACCCGTAACAGCACGAGAGACCAAATCGGTTGAAATCAAGTCCCCCTAGTACCTCTCTTATCTCCACGACTAACTCTTCGTGTATCTGGAAGCCCTGATGCTGCTTCCAGGGGTCTTGCTGGCGTAGGCATAGCATTGATTCGTAGGGCAGAACAATCTCTCCTTGACTGGATCCCAGTAGATAGTCGCTTGTGTGCTGTCCGATGAAGAACGAAGTCAACTTAGGCGCAGGCTGATAAAAAGCTTGCGCAACGACCGTGAACAGTGGTGGGTGGAGAAAGGGAGAGAGGTGGAAAAGGCAGCGGCGATCGGCAACAGTAGACAACTTTTCCGACTTATCAAGGAAACTGGTATTAGGAATACTAGCGTAAGTGAGACTATCTCAGAAAATGACGGAAGTATTAGTTATTCTCAATCCAGGAGACTGGATCGATTGGCAGAACACTTTAGGGATCAGTCCCACTGGCCTCGAGCCACTTCGGTTACCCACGATCTCCAGTCATCCTGAATGGCAAATCGACCTAAGTCCCCCTAGTCTTAAGGACGTTGAGAAAGCGTTAGGAAATCTGAAGCGAGGGCGAGCTGCAGGTCCTGATAGACTGACCCCTGAGATATTCAAGTATGGTGGTCCAGTTTTAGCAGCTAGGTTGACTGAGATCTTTGGTAGAATCTGGGAACTGGACGCAATCCCATCCGACTGGTCTCAATCACTGATTGTCCTAATCTATAAGAAAGGACAGAAGTCTTCTTGTGACAATCACAGGGGAATAAGTCTAACTAATATAGTATCTACAATATTGGCCTCAATAATACTTCGGCGCTTAACGAAAGCTCGTGAAGAGCAGATTAGAGAAAACCAGGATGGTTTCAGACCTGGTCGTGGCTGTATAGACCACATTTTCACACTACGACAGGTCCTGGAACACAGACACACATTTTGGCGTCCTACAATAGTCGCTTTCCTGGACCTTAAGGCGGCATTTGACTCAGTGGATCGTGAGGTTCTGTAGCAGTGTCTGTCATTGAAAGGTGTACCAAAGAAGTACACTAACCTTATACAAGCTCTCTACTCGAACACCACTGGTCGAGTGAGATCTTATGGCGAACTGTCATCTGAATTCTCTACATCAAGTGGTGTCCGTCAGGGATGTCCACTTTCCCCATTCTTGTTTAATTTTATCGTAGATATGCTCCTAGACATAACATTATCCTCGTCTGAATTTTCAGGAGTAGACCTTTTTACCAGGTGGCTCGCTTATTGACTTAGAATATGCCGATGACATTGTCCTACTTGGTGAAGATGCTGACAAAATGCAGGGTCTTCTGACTACCCTGAGCAACAATGCAAGCATGTTCGGGATGCGGTTCTCACCCTCGAAATGCAAAATGTTGCTTCAAGACTGGGTTGCATCGGCACCTGAACTAGTGATAGGGAGTGAAGTAGTCGAACGTGTTGACCGCTTCACTTATCTCGGTAGTCTCACCAGTGCCGATGGCCTGGTGACTGACGAAATCTCAGCTCGGATACAGAAGTCTTGATTGGCTTTTGCCAACCTGCGTCACTTATGGCATAGGCGAGATATCCGTCTGCTGACTAAAGGACAAGTGTACTGCGCAGTAGTTCGCTCCGTCTTACTTTATGGCTGTGAAACATGGCCAGTGAGAGTAGAAGATATTCGTAGGTTACTGGTTTTCGATCATAGGTGTCTTCGAAGCATTGCTCGTATATCGTGGTACACCCGAGTGAGCAACGCTGTTATTAGGAATCGGGTGCTAGGTAAGAATGGCAGATCAATAGACGCAGTAGTGACACTTCATCAGTTGAGGTGGTTGGGACATGTGTTGCGTATGCCCAACCAGTGACTGCCTCGTCGAGCTATGTTTTGTAGTATAGGAATAGGTTGGAAGAAAGTTAGGGGCGGCCAAACCAAAACATGACAGAAATCCATGAAGTCATTGACGATTGGACTTAGCCATGTCGGTAACTGTTGCTTACCTGGTTGGGGTCCGCGAAATGATAATAATCGATGGTTAGAGACCTTGAATGACATGGCTCAAAATCGTTCGCAATGACTCAGGTGCATTTATTCTTTGTGTTCTCTCGAATCCTAATCTTCTGGATTCTTCAACCCCTCTAGTTTTTACTTTCTAAACTTTCCTCATTTAATCATACTTCTTGAATAATATCTTCTCATCCTAACCTCTCCGATTACTTCTAATACCCTTACCAACTCTTCTACTATTGGATTTGAATTGAAAATTACATATCTGTGCTGATGTGGTATGGCGACATGAACTGATGTACATACGTACGAAGTTCTACGTTGCATCTGAATGACTGAGGAGAGTCCACTCTCCTCGAAATGCACTCACATGTCCGTAAGTATATAGAAACTGCAACGATATTTTTCAGTGTTCTGGTGACGGCGGTGTTCTTCACGAAATCAAGAGTATGAAAAGCGAATGTTTGGTACTTTAACCGGTGAGTCGATAAATCTTGTTCACAATCAATATTGTCACGAACTTCAAGATCTGGAAGGAACGAATGGCGTGCTGACATTTCGTTGGTCCCCAGCTACCATGGGATCACATTCCCTGAAGTTGTTTCACTACCTGGTAGGTCTGACCTGTA